CGGTAAACGAATTGCAAGTATGATTTTTCTGCATTGCTAACAAAATAGTAACTCGCCCTTACCTGTACACCTACCATTATAAGCAAAAGGAAAGTTCAACAAAACGTGCGCATAGTGAAGCTACATTTACGTCCAGAAGCAAAACAAGAGGCCATCTCAGCAATGGATCAGGGAAACTGAACAAAAACCTGATCGAGATGATGATTTCAAACTTGAGACTTGCACCATTCTGTTAAGCCTTCCTTACGCTATCTCAGGTCAAAATGTAATAAAAAAAGGTGGTGCTGTTTTTTTAGAAAAAAAATGTTTAAACAAAATCTTGCATACATTTTACGCAAAACTAAGCAAAAAATACTGAAATATTTTACATGGCCTTATTTCAAAATCTTTAAGGAGTAAGGAGAATATCTCTACCTTTAATATTTTAGTTGTGGGAAGCATCTGAAATAAATTTTGAACTTTGGCAATTTTCGAAAAATTCGGGTTTTTAACACACATGAGACTTATTCCCTTAAAAGTCCTGCACACTATCCAATAGTAAAATGTATATAAAATCGGAGCCATTTTTATTAAATTTTGAAATAGTCTTAGGGGCTTCATGAAAAGTACCTACCAAAATTAAGAGATCGCTCTCAAATTCAAGGGGCCGCGACATATCAGATAGATTGGGGAATATCAATATTGGAGAAAATCCGCCGATCTGTTTAGCATTTAGCGTTGTCACAGACGGACAGACGTTTTGTCGTCAATCGAATTATCGGTATCAAAGACCCACAAAACATGGATTCTGGCAACACCACGTGTTAGAGGATTTCCCCCCTTAATTAACAACCGCGCGCTGCGCCACGCGGCAATTGCGAGCTTGTCGCATTGTCTTTAGCTGTGATAACTGGACTTGATTTTTTTCTTTTGAAAGATATTTACTATTTATATGAACCGGAAAAAATTATTTGCCGTCGCGCAATGGAAGTTACTTTTCTTTAAGAAGTCAGCTACGCTGTTTTTGCAAACGCCAAGGACAACTCCTGCTGCAGTAAACAACCTACATAGAGCTGTCATTGCTCGCTAGGATCTTTATTTTTCGGTTATGACCGACAGTTCACAGGACTGGAAACAGTATAGTTCATTACGGGGAACATTGTGTCCCGGTACATTAAATCTGCAATTTTATTTTGTTTATTCGTCAGTTAGTTCTAGGGATTAATCGCAATTAGTACATCAATCTAATATTTTGTAGATTAATTAACACAATTAAACCGAGTATATTTAGGCCAATTAATCTTTACATCAATTAAAATTTTCGATTATAGAGTTCGATCATTTCAATTAAATTTTATTTATTTAAATTTCTAATGTATTTAGATTTAATTTAAAAAAGTGCTGCCATTTCCGCAGAAATCGAGCTTCATCACAAGCACTTGCAATGCGGCGTTTTCGGCAAGGAGGCTTCGAGCGGCCCCGAAAGCAAAGATTATAATAATATTGATACTGATTATAATAATATAAATCAACCAATAATTGGCTTGTCGAACGAAACGATGTCATTCAAAGGTATTGTTGTTTTTGACCTAATTCGCCATTAGCAAGGATAATGATCAAAATAACGGTTGACTAGGGTGTACTACAAACAAAATTAACTGCACTATCACACACTGATGTGTCTGTATAAAAAATAATAGAAGGTTGGCAAAAAAGTTCCTCTACTAGCATGTGTGGCGTCATGCTGGGTGCAATAATACACAGACGAGAGTGGGTTGAACTTATTGCTAGTTTATTTATGACTCCACCACCGAAATAAACCTTATTTACAATAGTTACACAAACGAAATAAATCGACCCCACTACTAGAAGCAGTTTTTATTCTACGGCTACCACACCCTCTACTTAAATATCAAATAAATCCGATCGTGTGAAGCACCGCAGAATTCCTACACGACTCGTCGCTTGAGTCATTTGACTACTTCACGACAAAGTACATTGCCGGCCCTAGCCTACGCGCATGCGGTCCGCACCCCACCCGGCGCGCTGCCTCTGATCCGCACAGCTCGGCTCCTCGAAGAACAAGGGGCCCTTAAAGCGTCGCCGCTACCCAGCTTGGCTGACCGCGACTTCCCCCCATTCCCTGGGCCTCTACATCATGCCACCTCCTGACGCCCCACCCCCAACCCAAGCGGCCTACCACGCGGCGAACACATTGCCACTATGTTTGTGCACGACGCCTCACATGCCACGGGCACACTTACGCATCACGTCCAGTTTCTGTTTCTTAGTGTTCAAGAACTAGGAATAGAAATAATATGCGCTGCGCCACGCGGCATTGCGAGCTTGTCTTTAGCTGTGTTTCACTCCCTTCAATGTGTGACGGCACAGCACATACAAATAGTGAATACATATAGAAAAAAATGAGGCTACATTTTGACCTGTGCCTATTGAAAGGTTCCGTTAGTCAATAAGCCAACAAAGGAACGTGAATAAACGTGTATCTCTTTGGATTGTCCCATGGTTGCAATCTTCCACGCAGTCGCGATGTCTGCATCTGAATGTTTAGCTGGTCGAAGCTGCCAAGACGCGCCTCTACCTGCCGTATTGTTCCCTTGCACGCCCTCGCTCGCCTGCGGAGGACAATGGCCGGCTGTAGTTACTGACCGTTCCCTGGGGCCCTTCCTATGCCACATCCCACACAAGGAATGAGTGAATTAGGGCCCCTTCCCATGGCGCGGCCGCAGAGTGCTTTGCAGCAGCGCGGCGCGTAGCAGAGCATTGGTTTGAATGGAGGCCTTCCCACGTGCAGCGGGTGGCCGCTGCTGCGGCAGCCGACGCCGAACTTCAGCTACGCGAAGCGGATGTTGGTGTTGGGTGATACTGGAATGTTAGCTACGTAGAGATGAAAGATTGTCAGAGATAACGGAAATCCTTCGGGGAGGCCTGCTAGTATATCTCTTTCTATATTGATGTGTAATAGTCAATGGTAACCGCAAAAGTTCTGACTGACAGAAAACTAGTTATTGGGTTGAGAAGATACACGTGAGTACCTATGTATTTAATTTGTGAATGAGGCCGATGTGTCAGACTCTGTCGAAGGCCTGAGTTAGATGAAGACACGTGACGATTGTATAATGTGTGTTGTTGTTTTTTTCCTGGAAAACTTCCTGTATGAATTCATTGACACTTAGTAATTGGTATGTCCGGACCTTCGACAGAGCCTAGCACATCGGCCTTATTCACAAATTAAAATCAATAGGTACTGACGTATATCTCCTCAACCCAATAACTAGTTTTCTATCAGACACAAATTTGTTCATACTTGTACGTAGTGTGATTATGCTTTACGTACTTTTCGCAGCCAATACTAGCTACGAATTCGATACTAATTCACAATAAGCATGGAAATCATGAAAAATACAACATCCATAATACCAATATAATATCCAGGAACTTGGTTCATTTTTATTTACGTGTCAACCATAAACAAACGTATTTGTTCAGGATTTGGAGGTTATGTGTAAATTGAAGCTACTTCGATTATCACGATTAGTTATTTATCTAGAGGGCGATGTAATTGCCATACATTCTCCCATTCCTAATAAACAATATTACAGTAAAATTGCTGGGTTTCATTCTAAGACTGTCCATTATTTACTTAGGTGGTAATGACAAGTACATTACATATTCGTTTGATACAATAATATTTCATGTTCTATATGTATTACTATATCCTAATCCTTATAAAAGCCAACCTAGAATGAGAATATACACAAATGTTCAGTGAAAGTGTTTAGGTATTGTTAGAGATTTTCCGTTCCAAATAGTTCCTAGTTTTACGTACGTTTTTGATTGCGCAACTGGCAAAATCTCATATTTCTGAAGATATGTTATTTCTTATTGACAACTGATTAAGAACAACGATATTGGCTTTTCCTGTCTTGTAAAAGCTCTGTTATTTGTTCTTAGCATGCTTTTCGCGAGTGAAGTACGCTTGCAAATTTGGTATAAATCCTATTATCATTAAACCTGAGAACTTTCTAAAATTACAAATTAGAATTTCTCTCGCTTCTTTTGTTGAAGAGTCTTCCACGAGATAGCTGAAGGGTTAGTTGAATAGAATCTGCAATATTAAAATGCGAATATTACGTATCTGTTACAAAAAAAGGGAAAGCAGAGAGTTGTAGGTTTTTTATTGTTTTTTAATAGATCTATGAGTAGTTTTAAGGTAATTTTGATCGTATGAGAACTACAACTTCACGACACAGTAGTTTGAGAAATCATATTCTATCATTGTTAGGCACCAATATTTCTCGCTGTATGGAAATCAGCTTAGGATTGTTGAATATGTGTCGATGAATTAGCTATAAAAGAATTAGTTTTCGCATTTTACGCCCTATGCTTATTAACCTACGACCGACTTGTGTTAATTTGTACAAAAATTGCAGTAACCGTTACCAATGCCAGAACGTACGCGATGTTGCAGTTCCACTTGTTTTAAACCTTATAATTTGGAGAACTGTTTACTCATTGCAAACTAGTGAATTGAACATACATACAAATCTATATAACATATAAATCTATATTGTAATAATTGTATCTTATAGTTATATAATTTCATCATTTTAGGGTATTTATTAACTAATCAATGGGCTCGTATGTAAGGGGGGAAAGGATTAATGGAAAAGGGGGCCCAGAAATGTAGTTGGCCACCTCGTTTTAAGGCGGCTCCACACATTCGGCTTTCGCCGAGCAGCTCGCTCAATCCCAAACAGCTGTGCTCGGCGAATATTCGCTTCCTTTTATGCGTTCATAGACCGACACGCGGTGGGTAGGGCGAGAACCGCATATTCGTAACTCGGCAAATAGCAAGCAACTCATCCACAAGACTCGGTATTCGGCGAGCGCTTGCTCGCCCCTCGCCCAACATATAATGTGTGAAACCGCGCTTAGACGCCAAAGGTCATCGCTATTGCTTGCAAGTGAGTGGAGCCCATTGCAACGTTTGCCTCTGCCAGGAGAGACGCCGTTGCTCACGGCCTGCCGCATGGGCCACGCGGACATCGTGAAGTTGCTGCTGCAGCACGGCGCCAACCTGCACCTCCGCTCCACCTTCACCTGGACGCCGCTGCACTTGGCGGCGCACGGCGGCCACGCGGAGTGCGTGCGCTTGCTGCTGAGCTGCGGCGCCAACACAGCCACCGACGACGTGTTGAAACGCACGCCGTTGCACTGGGCCGCGTGCGGTGGCTACGTGGAAGCGGTGCAGGTCAGTGCTTTACCGACGCCGTCTTCATTTGAAGATGATGCTGCTTTTACCCAGCCGCCTCCTTAGGGGGGGGGGGGGGCGTACAGAACTACACACCCACGGCGCGAGACCAGTCGGGCGCTTAGTGCAGGTCCCGGCTGCGACGGTGCACTGCTGGTGTGATGCAAGCCCACGTGTAAGGCGACACCGGACCTCCTGTTCCAGTGGGGAACACCGCCACCTCCCGGGATGTACGAGTATCATTTACAACATGTATGGGACTAACGAGCAGTAGCAGAGACCAATGAATCAATCCTTGGGGGTGTGGGGGAGAATCTTATAGTGTGGAGGTGGCGGTGTTCCTCTCCCACTAAAACGTGAGATCCAGCGCCGAACCACCCTTCGGCTTGCGGGCATTCTCTCTCCAGGTCCCGGGAGAGTTAGCTAATTGCATCATCTGATGTTCCTGCAATGCTTCTGACAAGGAGGTCCGAGATTCGAGTCTTGACAGTGGTAGATTTCCTTCACTAGTTTGTCCGCTTGGTCCAATTCAGTCGCTGTCTGGAGGTGATTTCTAGCTGCCGGCTGCTCTGATCGGTAGTTTTCCGTTGTTTATCCGTTCAACACCAGGTGAATGCCGGAGCAGTTCCCTAACAAACGGGCCACGGACAGCGCGCGATCTTTACTTCCTCTTCCTTGTTCTATCCTCACTCGTTTCACACACACCAACATGCACTACACTTTGCTGGGAGATCGGTCGGGAGCTTCGAGCATGTCCCGACTGCAGCGGTGCCCCGCTGGTGGGAGATACCTGCTTGGGGAAATCCTGTTAGCCAACGGTTGGTTGGCGCCGGATTTCGCCATCCAGCGAGGGGAAGATCACCTCCGCCCCCTGAGGAAAAATCATGCACTACACTAGGACTCATAACCTCAGTAGTTGACAAGCCCGCAATCACTAACAACCAACCAACTTCCTCCAGGTGTCTCCGCTAGCGTGGCACCCCTCGATGGAAACTATCGACCAGAGCAGCCGCCAGCTATAATTCTTTTCCGGACAACGGCTGAATTCGATCTAGCTAATTTCGAAAACCCACCACTGTCGGGACTCGACCAGTACCTGCCAGTCAGAAACGTTGCAGTGGCAACATTTGTTTCTCTGAGCCATCTCACCTGGTTAATACAATACATGTTTACATTTATTTCTTCAATGTAATAAACTTAAAAGTATAAAGAAGGAGGAGTTCTTGAAGAACATTAAAACCTACACATTTAACAACTCCAAACTTTGAGACTACTCTTCCGTTAAATATTTCTGCGTAAAATCTTGGTGCAGGTACTTCTGGAAGCAGGCGCCGATGTCAACGCCCGCGATTACAATAACTATACCCCGTTGCATCTAGCGGCACCCGGCCTCTTTGAGGATGACTGGTACAGGCAGCTGCCGGTCAAGATCATCTCTGAAGTGCCTACAGACTTCTTGGGCTGCATCGCCGCCTTGGTGGAGGCCGGAGCGGACCTGAATGCGCGGGACTTCGAAGGCAAAACCCCACTCCTGGTGGCAGGCGAAACCAATCACTTGAAAGGCGTCCACCTCTTGCAGGAGCTAGGCTCCGATCTGAGCGTCATCAACAACAGGCGTGAGACCATCCTGCACCTGGTGTGCGGCTCGGGCGATCTGGAGGCGATCGAGACCGTGCTGGACGCGCAGTCGGTATGCGTGAACGCCCGGTCGAGGTTTGGTCGCACGCCGTTGCACGTGGCGGCGGCGCGCCAGGCGCCGGTCAAGTGCTTGGAGGCGGTGGTGGCGCGCGGCGGCGACGTGAACGCGCGCGACAGCAAACTGCGCACGCCGCTGCACATGACGGCCATGGTCGGCTACCACTCGGGCCTGGAGGCGCTGCTGCGCCTGGGCGCCGACCCGGGGGCGCGCGACCGCGGGGGCAAGACACCGCTGCACTACGCCGGCGCGCTCTTCGAGCGCTGCGCGCACACGCTGCTGCGCTACCGGGCGCCCGTGAACGCGCGCGACAACAGGCAGCGCACGCCGCTCTTCTACACTGCCAGGACCTTCTCCTTCATGCCGTGCGTGCGCGTGCTGGTGGAGGGCGGCGCCGACCGCCACGCGCGCGACCGCAACGGGCGAACGCCCATCGACGTCGCCCACCCTGATGTGGCCCGCTTCATGTCCAAGTGGGCCCTCGCCGGGTAGACGACACGACTCCTTGCAATTTTCACACTACGAATCTTATACCTTGTTAATTTTGAAGAAATAAAATCCGTCACTTTCTTTGTTGTAGTAAGCAAATTCAGATAAATGACGACCATTGTTTAAGTTTTTTTTATAATAATTAGTACATTGATCAAAATGTAAGGTTCGTATTGCATAATTTGTTTATTGTACTTTTTTAAAAAACTGCCATAAAATGTTTATTAATACGTCTTTGTTGTCTTAATTTTTTTCACATCTTTTAAACACGTCACTGATTGCCTCCAGTCAGGTTTCTAGTTCTCACTAATCTTTCTTCCTTCTCTCTCCCTCTTCACTGTTTATCCATCTACGCACCGTAGAATTGGGTGAATTTGATACTTTTACATTTGTTTTTGAGAAAACTACATCTTCGGTTTTGAAAATTACACTTTTGTGAATTGAAACAGATGTTGAAGGATGCTTTACATAACAAGGATTTAGATAACATGATTCACTTCTTTAAAATATTTATTAAACCGCCCAATCAATGTCGCCCTTTTTTAACATCGTAAATTGAAGATCATTAAATGGCGTGTTTTAGTGATAATAGTGTCAATTTCAGCCCTCTGAAAATGGACAGACATTTTTCTTTTTATTTAGTCTTAAATACAGCGTGTTACTTTGATGGAAGTGGCTGAATTTCTACGTTTTAAATAACAGGCAACAAAGAATTACTTTTATGTTTTTTATTTAAAACACACTTAAAAACTGTGTGCTACACACGCACGCACACTCTCTCTCTCTCTCTCTCTCTCTCTCTCTCTCTCTCTCCTCTCTCT